CTGATGACAAAAACAAAGATCACGACAAGGTTTCCCAGGAGCCCTTAACAGCTTGAGTAAAAGGTGAAGGTTTGACCCCTTTCCTGAGGCAGAGGTTACTCTGTGAGCCTGCAGAGTTGAACAGGTTACTGGCTAGGTTGGCAGGATGAGATTTTACCATCTTCAAACAGATTTCTCAATGTGAATTTCCTGCATATTTGAAACATTGCCTTGGCCAGCAAGAGCTGGGCAGGCAGGCCCAGCATGGAAGAGCACAGCATGAGCTTTAAATGAGCAATTGTGCTCCAAAATCAATTTGCTACGTCAGGCTTCATCCTGTGAGTTAGCAGGCATTGGTGCCGTGCTTTCAGCAGCACGAGGAAATTCAAGTAGTAGGGGAGTGGTTTGATGCATGAAATATTTTCATTTGTTGGAAGCGGTGATATTGTAACCCACCTCCACTTCACTTGGCCACTTGTCTGAGTTCAGCCACAACGGGGTTTTTGAAAGGCTGTCCTGCGCTTTCCCCCATCACTGTGGGACACCTGCAGCAAGTGTCATTAGGAGACCCCTGTCGAGCTGACGGACTTCAAACACCTCAGGCAATACTGTTCTTTCGCATTGACTTTTGAATGGCAGTCTCAGAGATGATACAGCAAGGAAGGATGTGCAAGAAACGAGGAATCCTTTCAAATATTGAAGCTGAATTGCTGGCGTGCAGATGGCAATGCTGATTATTCCTTACTGATCTCAGATGGTGGTTATGGTCATTATGTCTTTGCTTAGAGGAGCTGTCATGTCAAATCCGCTTGCTTAGTGTCACTTCACAGCCACCCCTGGGACACTTCCTAAATTGCTGATAGCGTTTGAGTGCAGCACGAGAAGTTAAGGAGCAAACTTGACTTAGTCTTCGGGGTGCAAGCTGGAGACTGCTGAATTGGGCTGGTGTTTGGCAGAGCTCATGGAAAGCACTCTTGTTGGAGGTGGGGGGTATCAAGATCTGTCTGGAGAAGCTCTGGGATCAGAAGGGAGAAGAAAGGTGGGATGAGCTTAGGAACATTTGGAAGAAGAAGCGCTAAGCCAGACAGACTTATGGAAGGGAGAGTCAAAGCACAGGAGAAAGGGCCAAGACTGAATTATTGCCATGGAAGGCCATTTGAGCAAGTGGGCTAGACTGATTCAACATGAAGAATGGAAAAGATCAATTTTTAACAGAAAAGATCACAGAAGAGCATGTGGAGAAGATGATAACCCTTGTTGTTTGTAAACATGCATATTCTCTGAGGAAGATGGACTTTGAACTTTGGCTAGTTTCTCTGTTTTCCATGGGGAGCAAAGATAGCTGCAGAGCAGGGCATGTTCCAGTAGAGCTGGGGAATGAGCACACCAGAACTCTCATAGTTGTTGCTCTTGCATTGTATTGAAGTGGCTGGAACTGCCTTAGTTAGAGGAAAGTCAGAGGCAACACGTCCACTATGTGGCTGGTACACAAAAGCATCCATAAAAGGGACCCTAAGCCTCCTTGTCTGTGGGCTTACTGAGTAGAAGTGGACCTGTGTTACACCCTGTGAATAGTGCTCAGCCTCTGCCGGCAAAGAGGGAGTTTAGCCTTTCGGCTTCCCCACCTCCCCCCTCTTTTTTTTTTCTTTCCTCTTTTTTCCTCTTCTTTAAGGAGCAATGAAAGGACTAGTCTGCTGCCACAGCCCTAGTCACTCCCCACGGATGACTGGAACAGCCGCCCACCAAAGGCAGCTCAGCGGTGGAGGAGGGGCCGGCAAGTGGCTCGGCTGTTGCTATAACAACAGTACCTCTGTCTCATTTCTTTTGAAAAATGAATTGCTGCTGGTGAGATGAAGCGGAGCAGATTCCCCTTACAGATGAAAGCCCCGCCGACAGCCTCAACACACTCTTGTTTATCTACTGGGTCTGTCACGGCGTGTCCGAGCGGCTCTGCCGAGAATTTCGGGATGGGTTGGATCAGACCATTCGGGTCCGCGCGTGTCTGCGTGGTTGCGTGCACAGCCTCTGTCCCCCTCCCTCTCCTCCAATCCAGAGTCATTTAAAAAGTCAACCTGCCAAAGTTTGACCTTTCCTTGCTCTGCAACTGGAGTTTCTCCAAAGGCATATAAAGAATAGCAAGTCCTTCTTCACTGTCTTCTGCTTTGGGGTAGAAAAGTGCTGTAAAATGGAGATCCATCAGCCAAGTATTTTGTGTAAATAAAGCTTAAGGCGTATGAAGCTGCAAGGGGTTCTATTTTAATATTTTCCTTTTCTTTTGATATTTTCCTTTTTATATTGTGCATCAGCGGTCTTCTGCTCCTAGACATAAAGCTCTCAGCTCCTGCTAGTATCTTCATGATGCATACTGTAAAACATGCACAAACTATATACTAGTACTAAGGGGAGAGAGAGTACTCTACAAGAGAATATTTTACTTCAGGGGTTGTTTTTATAGAGGGAAGAGCTAGTGCTGGGGTTTTAGTCTAAGAACCTGGGGAGTCCTGGTGGTGGCGAACTCTTTAGCAGTATATGGTGTATGATATTCAAACCATTCAAGAGTTAACATGATGATTGGGAATTAAATCAAGATACAAAAATAAATGTTTGCATTGAAATAATTTGATAAAAATATTTATGTGTTGCACCGCAAAAAGAGGAGATACATCTGTTGTTATGCCTCCAAACTTCCTCAAAACGCTGAAGCCAAGGTGCTTCTCCACCTGCAAAGGTTGTACCCAGCATATTGCCTTCCAATAATCCTTTCATACTAAGTTTCTGTCTACCTACAATTTTCCAATGAGCAAACAAAAAAATAAATATATTAGTACCTCTTAACCCCCCAAATCCTAAAGCCTCTGAAGAAGAATAATGTGGAACTACAAACTTTGAATAGGTTTAAGTTAATTTATTTATTTTTTGCAACAAGGCACCACTTCTGTGTGTTTCATATTGGATGCAAAATAGTTGCTATGTCAAGCTGCTTTTTGTTGTAATGCATGATAACATGATTGTTAATATTTATATACTGATCCTGCCTTTACTTTCACTAAAGTCACTGCACATCTGTACAAGGGGATATCAAAGTTCCAACATATGATGAAACTTTAGGAACTGATATTTTTAGGGCTGGTTATTTGCCACTAGATAGTTTTGAGTCTTTTGGTAAACATTCATGTATAAATAAGGTGATGGATTCAGGATAAATTAGTAAAGGGTGTGAAACCATGTGAAAGTCTGTAACTCTTACCAGTATTTTGTGAAGGATTTCTTCAATCTGTTGCAAAATGTATGGAGCCAGTTCACTTGTATTCCTCAGGAGATAATCACTCTCACTAATCCCTGCCTTGTCATTAAGGCAAGTTTTTTTCACATCTTTTCCTTATATGAACTTTACTTCATGACTAGAAGCCTACCACCAGGTCCTGTTCTTACATTAGCTCAACATTTGATCAATATGAACTCGGGGCAGAGGGCCATGACAAATTTTGAATATTTCTACAAACCCTATTTTCGTGTGTGTATGCCCATTGAACTTGGTCTTGAGTCACTTGCCATTTGATGAATGTTTTTGCAATGTGGAAGGCAAACAGGGATAATGACTTTGTGGTGAGATGGCTTAGGAGCTCAAATGGGTGATTTCAGCTGTAAATTGTGTGAGTAGCCCATTAGGGCCAACATTTAAAAATGCTGTTTAAACCCATTGTATCAACTGACCACCTGCACTTGAGGCCAGCTCCTGCTCTTTCTTTTCTTGCCCTGGAGCTGTGCTGCCATCCTTGTGAAGTGGTGCCATTCTGTATCGTCCTCTCCTCATCTCCAGGGTCTGAACCAGGGTTGTATAAAGATCAGTGACACAAACTCAGCTGCAGTGTTCTGTGGCATGCCACTTGCACTGGTCGAAAAGCAGCAGGGAGCTGTGATGCCATACACTGGTGTTCAGCTTAACATAGGCTTTTAGGGGAGGAAAGCAGCAGAGGTGAGAGCTGTATCATAAGTCTCCTTGTGGGATCTGATTTTGATCCTTCACACTACTCCTGGGTGTTGGCTTGCTTTCCATATGGCTGCTAACTTGCCCAAATTCAGACAATTACCACCCCTGGGCAAGCACCTCTTGCTCGTAGAGCTTTCTGCTGCCATGGCAAAGGGAGATGAGCTCTGCTGTGGGACATCATGTTCTGCAGCCTATGGCTGATAAATTTGATTATGCCAGGCCTTAGTCAAGAGAGTGCTGGTGCAGTGTGTGTTTCTGCCTGCATCTGCTGCCAGAACCCCATTCCCAGGCATCTGTGGAGCTCATGAGGTCAAGAGTGGCTGCGTTTGGGAAAGGAGTGGGAACCCAGTGGTGGGGACTTCACACACACGATGGGCAGGCCCAAAACAAGCTCACAGCCTTCCTGACCCCCAGATTGCTGCAGGCTTGTTCCCCATCACAGCCTACAGCACAGGGGAGAGGAACTTCTTGGTGCAAACCACTAGCCATGCTGTTTCTGTACCCCCAGAAACCAGGGGTGGGGAGAGATTCGAGGTAAAGCTCTTCTGCTCCAGTACCAATCAAGGAATTGATGGTCTGCTTAGACTCACAGACTTGCCTTTCTGCTTTGTTGTAAAGACCATATCTCTGCAGAGGAGCAGCTACATCAGTACCTCGGTGTCCCATACGGGTTCAGCTGTAGCTCCAGCAACGTATGAGTCGGCCATCTCCCTCTGCATTGGGTGCTGAAAGGAGGCACACGGGCCTGAAGGGAGAGAGAAGGGCACAGCCTTCTCAGAACCCCTCCCTCCAAAACCAGGACAAGACATGGATTTGCTCGCCTGTCTTACACATAGGATGAAAGGCGAACCAGCCCTCTTGGGATGGGAGAAATAAATGGGATCTGGATTGTGAGAAGAAAGAAGGTTGAGGACCTCTAGGTTAGGGAAGGGGTGGGAGCTACATGTCTGGGACTTTCATACCAGTAAAAATACTTTAAAATTTGATAAAATCTTTCAGTTTGTTGTATTCTATTGTTCTGGTATCAAGGATGCGAGTGTGTTCTGAAGGCGTTTGCTAGAGCTGTGACCTCTTTGCTTCCTCCCCTCCCCACTATTGTTTTTTGCCTTAGCTGAAGAGGGATGCTTTTTTTAGCCTGGTACGTAAGTGAAGGACTTAACTTTGCTGTGATAGGAGAGGACTGTAGCTTGTTACAGTTCTTTGCTATGCTTCTTTTAACCTGAATTAAAGCTTATGTTAATACACTAATTTTTTTATAAAATTCTTGTATTCTAATTTATTTGCTGTCCTGGAGACTTGTCTCGCTATCATTTCTGTTAGCTATTTATGTTTCACGTTAGCTCCTAACACACACCTAATTTCCTTTTTTTCATTATTTGGAGTTAACATCATGCAAAATGCTTTTTATATTCTAGGGTGGATATATTTTTTCCTCCCTTAAAACTGATTCTCAATATGTTTTGTAGCCAAGAACAGTGGGCTAATCAAATGAAACTATGATAATGAACTTTTTAAAAGAAATTTAGTGTCAACAACACATTACAAGTAATCAATCAATTGTATTGCAGGTATTTCTCAAGAAGCTTCCAGAAACTTCCACCAAAAAAATTTCAGAGTAAATAGTAAATTTTAGTGATTCCCTTTTTTTTTTTTTTTTTGGTCCAATATAAGATTCCTCTCTTTGTTAGGCACTGCATAAATCTCATCACTCTGTTAGGCACCAAAAAGTTGAATTAGCCAACGTGCTCCCTAAAATTCTGGTAGCTTAGAAAGCACAGACATTTTTTACAGTTCTGCTCTCCTATTCAGGGGAAGGTTGGGGGGGGTGGAGTGAGGGGTGTGGAGGTGTTTGGCTGTTTCTTTTTTTTGTCTTTTCAAATTGATTACGGCATAAGAATGAAATCAAAGAAATATCCCAAACAGAGCTTTTAAAACTTATTGTCACTGGTAGGCTTGATGAGGAGTATGTCACAGCGTTCGTGAGCACTTTTTTTTGCATCTGCAAATGGTTAATTTTTTTCTTTCCTCTTGTTTTTCTTTAAGCTTCAAGAGACAGTCAAAAGGAAGTTAGAAGGCACTCGTTCACCTCTCAATGGAGAACAGCAGAATGGAGTTTGCGATGGGAGCTTTTCTCCAACCAGCAAGCGGACAAGGAAGGATGTGCCAGGCATTGAGGCAATCAACAGCCTGCCCAATAATTTGCCTTTGCCTGCTGTTTCTCCTCTTCACCAGCTTGACATGAAAGCTCCCCTGCCCCTGCAGAACAGCGGAACTCACAGTAGCGGTCTAGAAGACTTGGGTGAAAATGGTGGGCTTTCCGAGATAAAGCTCCCTGTTAATGGCTGCAGTGAGCTAGATGATAGTTTTAACATCCTGCAGAACAAGGAGCTAAAACAAGAGCCTTTGGATGACTCCAACTGCATAGACACTTCTGAAACATCTCTTTCGAATCAGAACAAGCTCTTCTCAGACATTAACCTGAACGATCAAGAGTGGCAGGAGCTAATAGATGAACTGGCAAACACGGTTCCAGAGGATGATATACAAGATCTGTTCAATGAAGACTTCGAAGAGAAGAAGGAGCCAGAATTTCCCAGGCCTGCCACAGAGACTCAAGAGAGCGCAAGCGTGAAAAGCGACCCATCTCATTCTCCATTTGCTCACGTTCCACTAGGGTCTCCCCAGGTGAGGCCGTCTTCGTCTGGTCCTCCGTTTTCCAACGTCTCCACAGCCTCCAGCATAACTTCTGTGTCCAGCGCCCCACCAGCCCCAGTCCCTGCCGGCTCACCAGCAAACTGTGTTGTTCAGTCACCTCAGACTCCCAGCCAGGCCCACACCCCAGGCCAGACGCAGGCGCGCTCTGGAAATGGCTACCTTATGAACCCAGCAGCAGCCACCGTGGCGGGACCGGGGCCTGGGCCGGTGAACATGCCGAGCGCTGACTTGTCTCCAGCTGAGCAGCTCAAGCAGATGGCAGCCCAGCAGCAGCAAAGAGCCAAGCTCATGCAGCAGAAGCAGCAGCAGCATCCAAATCAGCCCTCAAGCTGGTCACCTGTGGGCCCTCCATCTAGTCCCTACGGAGGACCCTTCAGTGCAGACAAACCAAATAGTCCAATGATGTATCCTCAAGCCTTTAACAACCAAAACCCAATAGTGCCTCCTATGGCAAACAATCCCCAGAAGACCACAATTAATAACTACCTCCCTCAAAATCACATGAACATGATCAGTCAGCAGCCAAATAACCTGGTCACAAACTCCTTGAGCAAGCAGCCCAATATGCTTTCTTACGGCAACACCAAACCTCTGACCCATTTCAATGCTGAGCTGAGTCAGAGGATGACCCCACCAATGGCAAATCCCAGCAAGAATGCCATGATGCCATACATCCAGCAGCAGCAGTCCCAGCAGCCCCAGATGCAGGCTCAGATGGCGCACCTGAGCGAGGAACAGAAGCGCATGCTCATCATGAAGCAGAAAGGAATGATGAATCAGCCCATGGCATATGCAGCACTTCCTGCCCTTGGACAGGTAAGTGTGAGTTCACGGTGCGTGGGCAACCGAAAAGAGGCTGACACAAAGGCTTAGTGTCTCTTTGTGCAGTCTCCTCCACCCTCCTCCTCTTTTTTCTGGAGAATATGGAATGTCATTGCAGATGCTTCTTGGACTTTTCATGTGGTATTGGAGCTTGATCATATTAAGAAACAACTGAAATGATGTTGCATTATGGTTTGGACCTGTTGTTAATTCACTGAGGTTTTTTGGTTTTGGGGTTTTTTTCTGAACTAGCACTCTTTCCCTGTGTTTCTGCTGATGAGTGCTTAGGGCCACTCTGGGAAGTTTTGAGTCAGAAGTCACTCCGCCTTGGAAGGTTTGTTTCACTTTTTTCATAATGTAAGATTTGGTGGTTGTGGATCCCAAACCACTGCATGGCTTAGTTTCCACAGTGTAGTTAGCTTTGTAACAAAAAGACGGAGCAGCAGGTCCCTTCTTCTTGGGGTAGAGATGAAGCCAGCTTTAAACAGTGTATTTGGCATTTTGGCTCCAGGAACAAAAGAAGGACGTTTTGGATGCTGAGTGCCTTTGGTTTCCACTGGAAGAAGTAAGCACAACTGAATCCTTTTAGTGGTGCTCCAAACATGATCAGTTGAGGTGGTTTGTTCTTGCACTTTCAAGCTGTCTTTAGCAACATCAAGTATTTTATTGTTGCGAATCCTTTCATTGTTTGTGAGTCTTTAAGCAAGAGGCTAAAGCCATATTGGCTTGAGTGGCTTGGCATCACTGTCTCGCATGTATTCCATGCTAACCTCTGGAGCAGCAGTTGCCAGGTTTGGGAAACGCTTTGTAATGAGCTAATAACCAATTTGAATAATGATTATACTAATGCCCTGTCATCTCCTGGATCAGCTGGGTATTCTTAGTTGCACAGCCCCTGTAAAGATCTGCCCACTGGTTTCATAGAAAGGATCAAGAATAAATTTTCTGAATGTTGTTTTGAGAGTTTTCTAATTAATTAAACTTAATAATCAATTCCTCAAATAGGTGATGCCTTCACAGAAGTTATGTGCCACCTAAACATGTCAGGAATCCTGATATAATAGTACACTAATAAAATTATTGGTTGATGGTCTTAGCATAACAGCTTTTCACCAAATTAGCTGTTTCCACAACCCCTACAAGTAACATTTCTTTCTGAGCATGGTCTAACTGTGATTCACACTGTAATGCATGTAGAAATACAGCAAAATTTGTCAGTGCTTCAGCTTGTGGAGTTTGGGGATCTACCAACAGGGAGGAGTAGGAGCTTTGCCAGATCAGAGCCCATCACATATTATTTTAAATTAATTGCAAAACAGAAAGAAATGTTCATCTGCCTCCTGTTTTTGGTTCAGGGTGTGTGGTGACAGCTCCTTATATTAATTCTGCTTGCCTATTGCATTAGACATAGCTGGGAAGGCTTATCTAGAGAAATACTGCAATAATGACATGGAACTCAGACTGCAATTGGAGTTACAGATTTGTCAGGTTGCAATAGAGAGGCAGAGGATGTTTGGTCACAGTGCCTAGTGCTTTATCATCTTTTTCTTTTGTTTTTCTTAAATCTGTTGAACTCAAAGACCCAGCAAACAGTTGACAGGGTGAACTGTCTGTGTGAAAGAGTTAATGGCATCTCCTCCATTCCATGAGTTGAGAAATTCATGTTAATATCTCGCTGTAATTCCCCAGTATGAATGGGAAGCCAAGATTTCATATAGCTAATCTCACTCAGTTCCTTTTTTTTTTTTTAATGTAGGAAAAACTAGATGTTTGGATACAACTAGACATTCTTCCATAAAAAAGTCCAGATATTAAGTCATTTCTGTGTCATATAAAGAAGAAACTTAAGGCAGAGCCGTACTTCATTATATATTATGTGCAATTCACATTTATTGATCCAGTCGAGATGAGGGACTTCTTCCTTTCATGTAGGCGTAGAAAAGTTCCTTTGCTACTTGTGGAACCCACTTGCCTACACTGAAAGGATTTTGTTTGCTGAGGAAGGTTGAAATAATAGATTTCTAACCGTAATGTATTTCTTCCTTCTTTCACTCTCTGATTCCCTGAAAAGCATTTTTCTCTGGAAAATTGGAAAGCTTATTATTGTAAGATGTGTTTGATGGAACAGATTGTTTTTGCAAAAGTAGTAAAAATGTTATGTTGATATTGTTGAGTTAAACCCAGACTGATGCAGATTATCTGATTCTGTTGCTTACTGCAGGATGCTGATGGTCACATATGAAAAATAAGGAGATTTCACTCTTTATTTTGAAATACATTTCTGAATGTAAAGCGAATGTATCCTTCCGACAGTTTATAGTTTCTACTTTCATTTTAGTTTTGGGTTTTGATATGGGATTGTAAAAGTGTGTGTTAAACTATCATGCTGATTTAACAAATGACACGTAAGGGGAAAAAGAATCTACCTATTGCATCTCATGTTTAACAGTGACCATATATCTTTGTCAGGTTATTCTTACAAGGGCATATTTGAGAACCAAAAGCTGATTTAGGGAACATCAGACACGTACGTAAACACCTTGTCTTATTTTCAGTGTACTGCTGTAAAATTTAGATATAGCTTAGTTTCATGCACATGTACAGACACTAATTAAACCCATTCCCGTTTGTGCCTGAGGTTGTAATAGGCAGCATTTTTACGTGAACTCATTGCTTCAGTTGTTGAGCGTGTTTTAGCCAGACACACCACTTTTTCAGTCCAGCTGGGACCTTGCAAATGCTCTGTGGAGGTCAGCTGTCCGTGACTGTCCTATTAAAGTGCCAATGCTGGTGCTCTGGGTTTGTGTCTTGGGCATGCTGAGCATCACTGTGTACTCCTGTGAAGAGAGGTGAGCAGCGAGAGAGGAGGCCTTTCAGCTCAATATATCCATGAGTGGTTGGACAGGCAGAGTGCTAAATTAGCAGCTTAGCCAGCAGAACTAGTATCCAACGGAAGCAGGGTTTCTCTAAAGGCTCTCTGCACTGTCGGTGTTGAAACTCTTCCTGTCAGATGTGTTAGTCCTTTGCTTCTTTGTGTAGGTCCAGGGCTGGTACTGGCACTGCAATTGTAGCCCTGAACAGCTATTGCTGAAGGATCCATATGCCCTGAACCATTATGTCCTATATCTTATTCTATAGCTTGTTTCTCTTCAGTGAGCACTGGATGGGGTGTTTTTCCACAAAGCAGATACTGGTTTGGATTTTTGCATCGGGGATTTTTCCAGGGGTGGCAGTTGAAGGTAATTCTGATGTTTTTTTGTGGACTGAATATTAAAACTGTGGTCAGATCCAGACCCATCTATATCCATCAAAAGCCATGGTGGATCCTGACCCATCTACCTTCAGCAAGGCTCTGTCCTCCTGTGAGTGTTCCCTCATGCCTGACTGTTTTCCACTGGGTCAGGCTTATATTTAGAAATCCCTGCTCTTTGCCTTGTCCTAATACCCTGATCTGCCCTAAACCCAGTTGTTAGTTTGTGACTACGTTGCAGGTGTTGCCCTTTAGCCTCTTGCTTTTTCTGGGTGTTTCTTTCATTCTTGCTTAGCTGTAGCTTACAGGCTAAACCAGCAAGTAGATTTTCACAGGGCTGGTAACTTGTTAGGTATTTGAGGGATAGAGGTCCTCTGCTCTTCTAGTTTTCATGCACCAAGATGCAACAAGGACTTCATTATGTGATTTAAGAAATTAAAGCAAGCAAGCCTGAACCAACCTCCTTCTCTCAAAAATTAGAGAGCTCTTTAACCTAAAATGTTCCATTAAGTTTTTGAGGTGTATGTAAGGTTTTATGGGATGCACTCCTTTCTTTTTTTCTTTAAACCAAAGAGTAATTTCAAATTGAGGAAAAGTGAAAACATATTCTTTGGGAAATATCAGAATAATTAATTGTGCCTTTTCTAGGTTCCAGCTGTTCAGTATGCATGCATAATGGTAAGAGAAAAAAAGCAGCCCAATGGAATAGATATTGAATGGCTGAGACAGAATTTGATGTTTGGAGCCAAGTGTGCAAGTAATTAGAGTTCGAAACAAAACAGAATTCTCTGTGGGTGTAAGAAAAATAAAACTCTTTGCCTGCATGGGACTGTGAGGATGCTGCAATTATAGTTCCTACTGAAACCGCTAGTTATGTTGTTTGAAATCGAAGGGATGTGAATGAAGGGGAGAAATGACACCATCCTGCAAGAATATCTTCACTTTTTTTTTCCTGTCTTTTATTTTAATCTTACAAATTCAAGGTGTGTCATCTGCTCAGTCTGGTTTTGCTTGACAAAGATAAAGGGAGATCTGTGTCCAGAGAACATTTTCGAAACATAATCGTCGTTGTCCTTTCAAAGTGAAAAGGTGTGTCTGTCTCTGGAACTGTAAAAGAGATTTTACACTTTTTTTGAAGGTTATCTTTGGGGTAGTGAGAAAAAGAGATCATTGATGTTCTGCGATTTGGCCTTTTTTAAAAGCCTACCTGAAACTAAAGAAGAAAGGCTACAGATTTGTATTCACTGCGTGAAAGTGTGGCAGAGTCACAATTGTCTTACCAGATTTTAGGGGAGACAGGCTGGAATGGAAATAATGACAGAGACAGTGAGGATCACTTGCTGAACAGCCCACAGAGCTGTAGAGGATGCCTGTCTGTTCTATGTTTGACTTGTAGACACTGTTTTCCACAAGATGTAGTGCCTTCCTTTTACAAACGTCAAAATTTGTTCCCTGGAAATCAGTTTCCCATAGACTTTCAAGGACAAGTGGGTTAACAGAATGTGTTCAGATGGATTCTGACCATCTCACCAGCCAATTTGTAAACAGTAGCCTGGCCTTCTTACCATTCCTGCTATCATCTGCCCATTGTGTTGAAAAGAGGCCATGTTAGCATAAATCACTAGAAACAAATGTTGGACAGCACTCAGCTAAGGTCGGATCTCCATGGAATAATCCTAAATCCCAATCTGTGGCTTAATCTTAAAAACAATTTTGTTGGTATTTCCTCATTTTGTGACCCGTG